TCCTTTCCAACCTAAATGATTCTGTGTTTCTGGATATGTTGTTAAGGTTTATTTAGTTTTGAAAAAATGCTGTTGTACCATATATTTTCACTTGTTACAAAATAGTGTGGGAAAAGCAAGTAATATTACAGTTCTGTTTGGTTTACAGATACTGACATTCATGTTGTTTCCACCCATAGATCATAAAGGCTCTTTTATTCTGCTTGGGGCATCAGCTAATGAAAATAAGTAAATGATACATGGCTGCTTCTTAACCCATTGATTTAAATGTTCTCTGTGCTTTTATCAGTAGACTGTTATCTGTTCACCCTTTTGTAGTTATTTGCACCAACAAAACTGCAATTTTCTTTGTAAAAGATGGATTTCCTTTCTCAGATTTATGCTTGTGGGTTGGGTTTTTTGGTTGTTTGAGGTTCGCCCCCCCCCCCCAGGATTTCAACTAAAACAGTCCCCTTGAGTTACCAGCATAAAGCTAGTAAATGCTCAGAGGAATTCCATGTATAAACAAGTTTAAATAAATGTAGGGTCTTTACCTGTATAGACTGAGGAAAGGAACAGAAAATTAGCAGTCTACAGCAAAAATGAGATAGTGTGTGTCATTTTCTGGACATGAGCAATAATTGTTCATGTGTCTCATCATAAGGTGTGTTTTGTCTAGTGAGTCTGATTTAGCCATCCTCTCCTATTTTCAGATTTTCTCTGGCAGAAAAGTTTTTCCAGGGGGTGGAAATAGGTAAGTTAATAAATTTTTCGTAAATGTCTAGAATCCTAATAGAGATTCACTTTGGTGACAGTTTTATGTATGGTTTGCATAGTTGGGTGGTAAATGGTAGGAGAAAAATCTGGAGGACATGTTCATTTTCAGTACCTTCATGGCAAGAATAATTTGGGATAGATCATTGTCTTTTCGAACAATGCTGGGTATTAATAGATTATTATTTTTATTATTATTCCGTTAGAGTAATAGGGAAAATTCTGCCTTTTGTTTCTAAATCTTTTCTGTCATTTTTTAATTCACTTTTTGACACTGTTCTTTTACACAGGAGAAAATTTTTGACTGGAGATAGAGCTCGTACTCACACCTTTATTCAGCAACCTGTTTTTCTTTTTTACAAAATTTTAATTTTCATATAAAAATATCAAGGTTACATTCTGAATTATGAAATCCATAAGACCAGTCTGCTAGCTTGAACATTTATTTAAAGTATACTTTTTTCCCCTTTTTAACAGACTGGTCAATTCTCTGAGTTTACAGTCTGAAAAGTAGGTGCCTTTTTGATCCAAAGCTAAAGTAGACAGTTGGAATGTTGAAATGTGCCATATTTCCTGAACACAAGTACTTAACTTGAAAGCACAGCTAAAATGAAAACTCATTTAACACTAGATTTATTTATTGGCTTTCATTATTAAATGAGATGAGGAAAAGGTTGATAACTTACTCAGCAGCATATATTGTGCAAATGTTTTAGAAATGACAAAAAAATATCAGACCTTCATCTATCTGTAAAGTGTTATAAATCAGAAAGCCATAAAATACAGGATATTCCACAGACTTCTTTGTGACTTCTAGAGCTGTCAGTGCCACGGTTTCTTTCTTTGTTCTATCAATTACTCTGCAAAAGGAGACTTTGTGGAATAAAGTGGACTAAAAAGTGGTAGGGTATCTAAGTGCAGTCAGTTACCTAAGAGAAATCTGGCCTATAGCAAAATGTTTCATGATATACATGGTTATCTGCAATCTATTCAATGATAACTTTCTATTTGAAAAAAGTAGATTTCTTCAGAGTCCAGTGAAGCAAGTAATAAAATTGTACCTAGTCACTTGATACTCCTGAAGTACTAGCTTGATTCCTTAGTGTAGTAAACATACGAGGTTAGTTTGGTTACTGCCTTCTTACCTAGTGCATTTAGAAAAAAGCAAAACAGAAGAGACAAGTGGTTGAGAATGTTATGGTGAACTTCACAGTATTGCACAAGAGCTATATGGAGGTGACATTATACGGGGCTGAATCTGAAGGTATCGAGGCAATTGCTTATTGGCAACAAACTTCTGAGTAAAACTTTGTATGGGACTTCTCTGAGTAAGATTCTTCCGATATCACTGATTGTTTTGTAGAAGTTAGTTATATAGCAGTAATAGAGCTGGATTTTTTTTTTTCCTCGCCTTTTTCTGTCATGATGATGATTTTGCTTTCATATCCTTAATGAAAACTTTGTGGGTTTCTATTCCTTTTCTCTGAATAAAGCCTATTCTGAAAAGTCTTTGGTTTTCTGTACCAAGTAGGATATTATGCATCCTTCCTGTATTAATTTAAAAGTTGTGTCTTTTTATTAGTTCTCTTTGGTTTATCTTTTTGCTTCAGCTATTAAACTTTTTGGAAGTATGAGTACACATCCTTTTTAGCTCCTTATATTTTATTGTGTGTTACCAACTGGAGTGCCTCATGCAAAACTAGTGAATCTTTTGAAATTAACAGAAAGATTTAATGCAGGCACTGCTAATCCAAGGAAATCTTACAAATGAGTAGGTTTCATTTTTATATAATCTGCTTTATGGTTCTTTTTCAAGAATTTACGTAATACCTTTGGAAGCAAAACTACCAAAACCCCGTCTTTTAGCAGAAGAAAAGTTGTCGTGTTAATTGATTCACTGGTGTACTCATGATAAACAGAGTTGTAATCTCTCCTTCACATTTATTATTACAAAACTCAGCTAAATTCTGAGAATAGGAATGAAAACTAGATTTTTATTTTTTTTTTTAAAGACTTTATAGGGTCAAATACATGTGGCTATCTCAGAACTGTTCATGATTTACACTGATCTTTTGGACTCAACACTTCTGATGACTTTATAAGGAGCTCCAAGGGGCATCTTCTGCTAATTTTTAAGATGGAAGATCTGACAGGCAAAGTGTAATTTTCCTTTACACTTGTAGTTCACTCCTTCCTTCCCCTCATATATCTATCTCTACTCTTATTTATAGCCTTACTGATTTGTCAAAATGTTACTAGATGAGCTAATTTTTCTATTTCATTCTGGTTTTGTTTTTTTTTAAGTCCCAGGAAAGCCACCTTGTCTCCTTGCTCAGTTGTTCCTGCACAGCATTTGAGTTTTGTCCTTGCCTTGCCTGTCATCGTCTTCTCTTTTCTCAGAGCGTCCCCATTTCAATGTGTCTTGTTAAGCTAGTTTACTCTTCCTTCCCACAGTGGACCCTCGTGAGTTTGTATACCCTTTCGCTACCTCATGCATATTTTATCAGAGGTCTCACACCTTCCAGTTCTCTGAACTTAGTTTCTCTGGTTTTTGGTGAAGAGAAGGCTCTGGGGAGAGCTTACTACGGCCTTCCAGTCCCTAAAGGGGGCCTACAGGAAAGACAGGACAAACTTTTTAGTGGGGCCTGTTGCTGTAGGACATGGCGTAATGGTTTTAAACTAAAAGAGGGGAGATTCAAACTAGATATAAGGAAGCAATTCTTTACCGTGAGGGTGGTGAAACACTGGCCCAGGTTGCCCAGAGAGCTGGTAGATGCCCCATCCCTGGAAACGTTCCAGGTCAGGTGGGTCTGAGCAACCTGCTCTATTTGAAGATGTCCCTACTCATTGCAGGGGGGTTGGAATAGATGACCTTTAACGGTCCCTTCCAACCCAAACTGTGCTATGATTCTATGACTGGTGCCCCTTTTTCACTTTCTGTCTCTGTTTCTGTCTGTCCCCCTCTATGTCCTTCCTACCTTCTCTCAGCTTCTGTGCAAGTTGTAATATTCCAGTTTTCTCCACTCTTTTTTTAGCTTTTGTTTGATACAGGCAGCTTCCACAGTGTCCTTGAGCAGGGAACTGAGGACTTAAAACAAGATGGATTATTGCATTGATCCTGATACACTGTAGTTGTAGCATGGTCAGTGCAACCTCACTGAAACTAGGTAATTTAGGAAACTGAAAAGTCTTTGAATGTATTTAACTTGAGGGCTGTCTTCTAATATTTCTCATAGCCTGCTTTTAAATCATTCATGTGATGGTGTGCTTTCGTGCAAATGGAAGTCACACACAAGCAATTTTTTTTCTTACACACTTACAGTTCAGCCAAAATATTTTGGCAATCTTGAAAGCAACTAAAAACATTAATCTGATCACTGAATATGCCTAGACAGGTTTATAAGACAGTAAGCTCTTGTCTGTAGCAAAATATAAAACTTACATTAATTTTAATTCAATGTTACATGTTTGTAAGGAAATTCTGAATGTAATAACTATTTCTCTCTCTTCGTAGCTACATTTTTTGAAAATCTTAATATTTGAGTGAGTGATAATATCCTGCTGTGATTTTTTACTAAATAATAAAAGGACTATTTATTAGGGCATATAGTGATAGGACGAGGGGGAATGGCTTTAAACTGGAAGAGGGCAGGTTTAGATTTAACATTAGGAGGAAATTTTTTACTTTGAGGATTGTAAAGCACTGGAGCAGGTTGCCCAGAGAGGTTGTTGAGGCCCCATCCCTGGAGGTGTTCAAGGCCAGGCTGGACGTGGCCTTGGGCAACCTGGTCTGGTGGGAGGTGTCCCTGTCCATGGCAGGGGGGTTGGAACTCAGTGATCTTCAAGGTCCTTTCCAACCTAAACCATTCTATGATTCTATAATAAATAGAATATAATGCTACATTTTCTAAAGCTTCCAATTTTTAATGAAAGTTAAATGTTTGCTCTACTGGTATCTTGTATTTAGGCAGTCAGCTTTACTCTACTCCTTTGCCTTTGGTAGCAACTTGTTTGATTTCATTTTATGCATCCTTTCTGTTTAATACCATATTGAGTTATTTATTTTTTTTAATACTTAAAATCTACTTGTCTACATAGAAGACTAAATAGTGCTATAAGCTATATAGAGGTAGTCCCCAGCCTCCTGCTTAAGTCCATAGGAGCTCTGAGGGTGCAAAGGCAGAATATAGGTATGAAGTGCTTGAAGTTTAAGCTTAAACATTCCTCATCCTTGTCCTCAATTACAGAATCTTTTGGCTGAGAAGGTGGAACAGCTGATGGAGTGGAGCTCAAGGCGCTCAGTCATCCGCATGAATGGAGACAAATTCCGAAGATTTGTGAAGGCTCCACCTCGTAACTACTCTGTGATAGTGATGTTCACTGCTCTCCAGCCGCAGCGGCAGTGCTCTGTTTGCAGGTAATTTATACCATCATGATCTTTTTCATCTTCCTTACGACAGTTTTCAAGTGAATGCTTTAATCAATGTGCAATACACTGAGCAGGATTGTTCTTTGCATGGGATAGATGCTTGCTATTTAACAGGCTCGTGTGTTTGTTACAGCATCTTTTCAACCGCCTTTTAATCTATATGTGAAATTTTAGAAGTCTTCCTAGTTTGCGATTTTATTAAATTACAGTTGAATAAAGTTTCTGCAACTGAGGAAGACTTTCTCTTTTAAAAATCCACTTTATTTTATTATCAGTCAACCATGATCTTCCCAAAGACATTTTGTGACAGAAGTGATTCATTACCATTTAATAATATGACACTTCACAGATTTCTTCAGTTAAGCGGTGTCCAAGGCTCTGATGCAGATGTGAGTTACCCTGTGATTTCACAGCTTTGGACAGTTCTTACGTGCAAGCACCTTTTTCCACCAGTACATGCTTCTGGTGGCATACTGTCTGGCAATGCACTTCGATATGTTCCGGTGGCTCCTTTTAGAATGTGTGGGTCTAAGTTCACGGTCTTTCTCTGCAAGTTCCTAGTTCAGTAAGTTAATCCAAAAATGACTAATGACAGACAAGGAAATAGGGCCAAGGGACTGTAAGGTAGTCATGCACTTAATTACCTTACTAAATCAGAAACTGAGCTAATAAAACCTTCTTCAGCCAAAATATGCATTAGAAATTATTGTGTTTAGTAATAGATGAGATTATTGTGCAGGGAGTTCTAAACAGTTATTAAATAGGCAGCAAAAATACTCCATGGAACTATGAAATACATATGAAAAAAATATTATTTCTTGCTTTTAAATAGGTGTACTTTAAACAATACACAAAGTTGGTAAATGTAGCAACTTGTTAGATTTCTTAGGTGTTGGAATGCGGCATTTACAGTAGAAACTTTAACTTGTGTACATGTAGTCATGTATGTTTTATATTAGATTTTTTTATAGATTAATTTTTTGTCATTGAAGTCAGTTGGTCAGTTTCGAGTGAGAGTATATAAATTGCATTCCTATGAGTTCACCCTGCACATCTGAACTGTGAAGGTGAAGCAGTTAGGTACAGAAGCTTCCCACCATTCTTAAGTCAAAGGAATTTTTTCTTTAAAACTTCCAGCACTTGGTTGCCGCTATTTCTTCTTTGTGTTGCCGGAGTTCAAATTTAGGACATGAAATAGGAGTTGAGAGTCTACCATATTGTTTTAAATCATTCCTTATTTTCCCACCTGGTGGATAAAGCTGCAGGAGATGTGCTAAGTTCAGCTTCATAAGGGTCAGTGTAATCTTCATTATAATGGCCATAGCAAATTCTTTCCCTGTGTTATGTACAGCTCTTTTGTAGGGCATGTGAAAACAACATAAATACTGCAGTTATTAAGGAAGTTAATTTTGCTTACAACTCTATACAGTTTACTGGATTGAAAAAAGCTTATAAACTTCATCCTGTAATATGCCTGGCTAGCCGTTTACGTACAGAAGCAACTGAAAATCTTTAAGCATAAAATGAAAGAAAAAATCAACATACTGCTTTCAGTTGGGTTTGTTTAGATAAATGTGAGGTTGCCATCCACTTTTTCATGTGAAATAAAAGGAATTAAATGTGGTTGATCGTACTGCACATAAAACTATTATCAGGAAAATCGACATTTTCAAATCAATAGCTAATTAATGGACAGGAGCACTGAAAAGATACACAGAACTGAAATGCATGCATTACTTTATTGTTAGCTGTTCACTAGCCACTTTGCCTAAAGGAAAAATAGATTTTTAACTTAATCTGCAATGTTCTGTGAGGATACTTTTGTCCAAGATTTAAGTTAACTGTTACTTATGAAAATATTTTCAGGACAATTGTATACAAAAAAATCAATGTCATATTTCAAATACAAAAAAGCAGCTAGACTGAAATCTTTGGCTTTGAATAACTTTGTCACAAGAATTAGTACTTTTTTTTTCCCCTCTAAAATTTGAGCCACAGAATTATCTAAAAAAAAAATTGGTTTTGTCTTCCCCCTTTGGTGGCTAGATTTGACATTTCAGTATTTTATCTATCCTAAATGTCTAGTTTATAACGAACAGGGGTGCAGTATTTTCAAAAGAGAAAGAAAGATGTTTGTGTGCTGCTGTTGCATAGAGCTAAGTGAAATGCTAAGCATGAAAAACACGACATTATACAAAAAAAAAAAGGTAAGTAACAAGATGGGGAGCAATGATAGGAAATGTGGTCCTTTTCTGGAAAAGAGCAGTGAAAGCTGATCGTCATTCGAGCAGGCCCTTGCAGATTTGCATGTTTGAGGCCAGAAGACATCATGTGTGTCCTATCTTGTTAAAATAAACTGTATTCTTTGTGATTTTGCACGCGGTTAGAATGTGTGTTGTTAAAATGAGCCCCTGCTTACAATAAAATCAGTATGATTTTTCTGGTATGTGTTTTGAATGATTGTGGCACCAAAGATGGAGAGGTAGTTTCATGCATTCATAAAGCTAATGTCACTTTTGGCACCCTTCAAAGTGAATGCAAAGTTAATTTGGTGATCCAAGTTCTCTACCAGACTATTGTGCCTGTCCATTGCTGAAAAGTGTAGTTTGGGTGTTGTCTAGAAGGTACGAAGGAAAGATTTCCCCCCCACACATCCCCATCCTTTTTAACACCAACGAAGTTCCAAATTTTGGATAAAACTTGGTTGAGGTGATCTTAGCCAAGTCTTAAAATGCTTGGAGGCGTGATATTTAAACATTTAAAAAAGGTCTTACCTATCCGTATAGCAAGGACCTACATATGGAAAGCTGACCGAATTTGTCTCAGAGAATCCAAGGCTTTTCTGTGCACAGCAAGGGGGGCATTATTTGTGAAAGTATCTGGAAATAATACCACCTTCCTCTTCAAATGCCACATACAAAGAAATCCCTGGGACTCCAGATATTTGGATGAAACTTTTCTATGTAAAAAAAAAAATATTCTTTCAGGCAAAGGATCTGATCTTTTTTCTGTAAAACCAGAGCATATTGTGTGTTTTGTAGGTATTCTCTAACAAAAGTTACTTAACGTAAGATCTTTCTTGGAATAAGAAGGGTTTCTTTATCATTGCAGGACATAAATACATAATCTTATGTATCATCTTGAGAAAGATCAATTAGAAAAATGTTTTGAATGCTTTGCCAATTTTTTGAAGCTTACCTGTTCATCCAATGCTAGACTTGTTTGTTCCTGATATACGTCATATTGTTGTATTTAATGCTTTCCCTTTCCTTAATTTTGCTTTATTTGCTTCTAATTTTTGACGTTAACCCTTTTCAATATAGACTTTTGAAAGTTAGAAATCATATATCTGCATTAGTGATTGGAATTTATTCTATGCCCAGAACAAATTAGGTTGATTTATAGATGTTTCTAAAAGACAACTACCAATTTGTCATCTTTGAGACAGAGGTTGGTTCCCTATTCGTCTTAATGAAATACTTTCACAAACTGTGGACTGGAAAATATACCTGTAGGCTATTTGAATCAATCCAGTCCTAACACATGAAGGCTTCTGTGACCCAGCACCTCAGTATACATATTAGTAGTGCCTCTAGAGTGTTTTTCGGGGAAATTCTGTCTTTGTCCTAAAGCAGAATTTGGGGTACAACATTTCCATGTAGCTTTCTGGACAAGCAAGTTTCAATTTTCTGGTCCAAAAAACTATTGAAAGCTATCTGATGCCTTCACAACTGTGTAAGCGGTAGCATAAACGTCAGTTTTCCTGTTGACATGATTGTTTAAGTTCAATATGACACAGCTGGTATTGAGAGATGAATTAACCGTAAGAGATTATATATCCTGTGTGCTCTCAAATGTGAAGTCATTGGTGGGGATGGGATGTGTTTCTAACAGTTGAAGGTGTGAGGTTTTTTCCATGCATGTTTGGAAACGTATTTGATTAAACAGTTTTGGTCCCAGGAAATTAAGCTCAGTTAGTCTTAACTGACTTTACAAATTATTACTATACATATTATTACTATTCTTGATGTACATACTGTGCAACAGCACATTGGAAGCAGATACCGAAGGGCCCTTTGATGCACTGCGATGATGAATCAGTTTGGGTTTTTTTGGTTTGAATGAACAGTCAGAAATAATCTAACACTAAACAGTGACTCCTTGGGGTATAAGACCAACTTCCCTTTTTCCTTCATGCTTAGGTATTCATTCAACTATGTAGTTTCTCTCTGTTACCCACACCATTCAGTCACACTACTTTAAAAATTACTTATGTATGTAAGAAGGAAAACAAAAGAATGGTCACTCTGAAAACAGCATCTTCATAGAGATGAAGAGACTGTTTCTCAGCCTGTACTTTGTATTGCATCCGGGCAAACAGTAACTACTAGCCTGACTTCAATGCATTTTTGGGTGAAAATTCTCTTCCAGCTTCTCTGCTCTGTGTCTTCTTGCCTCTTGCAATCTGTGCCCCCATTTTACCAACCAGACTTCAACAACCCCCCTGCTCCACTTAATTGAGTGATAGTTCTTTGATTTTCAGCTGCACGTGGGCTTTTGCTCCAGCCTGCTGAAACCATCACTGCACTGACTGTTCCTCAGCATCTTTCATTCTTATAATTAACTTGCTCTTTTTTGTTTGCTGCTGTACCATCTAATTGCTCCATAAGCAAATTATATGAGGTCTTTTGTTTTACTTTCTAAGCTCTGCTTCTCTCATCTCACTAACAGAAGCAACCATTCTGCTTTGCATACAGGTGCATATCAGAGATGTCTTGTTTTTTGCCAAACAGTTCACACTTTTGTCTGGTTCATTTTTCAAATTCATTGTTGGGATATTTTCACTTAGAAAGGGAAATCTGGGTCAGAGAAATGAAACCGATCACTTGAATTTTTTTCCCCAACAGCTGAGGCCCATCAACAAGAAGATGCATATTTTGTTTTGTTGTTTTTTTCCTTAGAGTAGTGTTCCTTGAAAAGATCAGAGT